CTATTCATGACAACTGGCATGTTTTTCAGTTATTATCAAGGAAGTGGATAGCAGGGTTGGGTTGATTTAAATAAGTTGATTTTTAAAATTAAAATCAACTTGATTTTTTAAATAAAAATCAGTGATTTAAATCACTTTTTAAAAAAATAATTTTTATTCGGTTTTTACACATTTCAACATTCAGAATTCCTTTCCTTGGTTTCATAAAACAGATATAAGGTTCAGAAGACTAATATAATCATGCTTAAGTCTGATTTTCCCCCTTTCACTGTAAAATAATACAGTATTCAATTTACTTTTTTTTCCATAATTGAAACCAGAGCTGGGTTGATTTAAATCAGTTGATTTTAAAAAAAATCAATTTGATTTTAAAAATAAAAATCAGTGATTTAAATCACTTTTCAAAAAAATGTATTAAGTTTTTACATATATTATATTTATACTTTCAGAATTCCTTTCCTTGGTTTTATTTTAAACGGATATAAGGTTTAGTAGACTAATATAATCATGCTTAAAAGTCTGCTTTCCCCCCTGTCACTGTAAAATAATACAGTTCTCAATTTACTTTTTTTTCATAATTGAAAACCAGGGTTGGGTTGATTTAAATCCGGTCGATTTAAATCAGTTGATTTTTTAAAATTTAAATCAACAATTAAAAAATGTTTTGTTTTTACATCTTTAAACATTCAGAATTCCTTTCCTTGGTTTTATAAAACAGATATAAGGTTTAGTAGACTAAAATTGCTTAAAAGTTTGCTTTCCCCCCCTGTCACTGTAAGTAGTAAAATAATACAGTATTCAATTTACTTTTTTTTCATAATTGAAATTAGCATTTTCTTTTTAGACAAACACAAGCGCGTGCTCACACACACACTGTAATAAAAATAAAATGCAAGTTTATCTATGCATAATTACCCCCCCCCCCCCCCCCCCCCTCCTTTTAGACTGACATTTTCTTCATTTTTTGTCTGTAGCCATTTAATTCACTGATAGCAGAATAAGGCTTTCTAAAATTGCAGGGGCTTAAATTAATCCTTAATTAAAAAAAAGACAATGCATTTTGCCCTAAAAGAACATACTTTTAGCCCCCAAAAATCCCAAACTGTGTGGACATTTTTTTTAAAATCAAAAAAATCCGATTTAAATTTTTAAAATCGATTTAAATTTAAAAAAACATTTTTTAAAATTTTTATTAAAAAAATCAAAAAAATCACCAACCCTGGGTGAAATCAACACGCGGCCCCCAATATAGGAAAGAAAATTATTTGTTTGGTGGGAAGGCTGGGGGGCAAAACATGTTAAAGGAGGGTGCTGATGAAAAGTCCTCGGGGGTGGGGGGCTTCCACTTTGAAAATGCTGGAAAAAGCAAGGGCCCATGCATATTGGTTATTGGTAAAGTAGCATGGGATGGTGGTTATTCTTTCATTGAAGATTTGCGAAAC